TGGGATACTGCCCGGGTGCCCAGACCGAAGCAGGTGGTTTTCTTAGGGGGCCACACCCCGAGCCTTTGACCTAAAAGTCTAGTCCACAAGGCAGTGGAGCATCGTGAGGAGATGCAGTCCCATGGAAGCCGGTGACCAAAAGTTGGTTCATACGCCATTTGTTCCCGCAGGATACTGGAGCCCATGTGCACCATAGAATTGGGATCCGGTTATAGCGCCGGACGTTCGCTTTTCGTCCTCTCATTTTCGTAAACAACACCCCCGCCACGAGAAGGCAGTGAGTAGGACTTCCCTGGCAGAGGCTGTATACGCGTGGCCGTGTGAGAGTATTTCGAGAGGGAGGGCGAACCCTCCCCGCTCTCGGCCATACCAGAGCATTTGGATCCATGAACTATAAACTTATGAATACATAACAAATAACCACTTAAAAAACGGATATTTCGCTGGAACCGAAACAGAGATCAATAATGGCTGATATTTATGACGAATAATATAAATTAACAGTGCATTAATCGTATGAAGAAAAAACTCTTGAAGAATGACAAGATGGACGACACCAAAATTAAAATGCCGAAAGGTAGACAATAGACTAGAAGCTTAAAATGTATTGACAGAGGATACTGAAAATTAAAACTATTCGTGAAATAATTAATGTAATTCGATTTTCGGACATTTTTGATTTGTTCACGTCCAATTTCAAGTGCTCTTGGACAATTGCCCCCGCTTAGGAAGATTTTTGCCGTGAACTGATATTATTTGGAGCAATAGTAAAATGTAAGAATCACAAGATAGCTGTATAGTTCCAGTTAAAAAAACTCTCTGGCATCAACAACATCAAAAATGATTAAACAGGAGAAACTCAAGTCTTGTAACTGTTTCTAAACGGAAATAGGTCTACGACGGGATCATAACCACATTTATCATTTCCTATACTGAATAGCCCGTTGGTTACTATAAAACTCAATTATTTTCTCCGCCAGTAGCTCTCCTAGAGTAACCGCCAGTCCCAAGACCTAGATTCAAGTACTTGGCTACTTCTAACAAGCATATCTTCAAAAAATCAAACATTACGTCATGAGAAACGATAACTTTGGGACCAAACAGTAAGTTCTCACAAAATAAAGAGTAAAATGCCTAAAAATTTTTGTCTCATACCTGAGCTTTGAGTTCAACACGTAAAATGACATATTAGGTTGCATCTATTCTACAATAGCAATTCTCATTGCATCAGACCGTAATTTCGTGAGGTCATCACCAGGTATGAAGATATCATGGGACGATATAGACTAACTAGGCGAAAAGGACGAGAATGGTCACAGATTTGAAAATTTATGTGAATCCAATAAAATGATTATAGGCGGCATAATCTTACTCCACAAACGCATACTCAAAGCTACACGGGTCTCACTGGATCACACTACATAGAAACAAACCGATCATATTTGCATCACTAAAAAATTCACAAGGTCAATGGAAGGTTCAATACAGTCTCCCTACGAGATACTAAAAAACTTAACGAATTCAAGATAACTCTCAACGACAGATTTCAAGCCTTACAGGACCTACTGAAGAAGAAAAAAGCTACGATGAAGGATAACTGGAAAGGGATCAAAAAAGCACTAACTTCGACGTGTCAGGAAGTGCTGGGTCGCAAAAAGCATCATCGTAAGGGATGGGTCTCTATCAAAACCCCAGACAACATTCAAGAAAGGAAGAACAAGAAGACAGCAATTAACAACGGTCGAACAAGAGCAGAGAAAGTCAAAGCACAAGCTGAATACATAGAAGCAATCAAGAGAGTTAAGAGGAGCATTAGAGAAAACCAGCAAAAACACGTGGAAGAGATAACAACGACAGCGGAAAAAGCTGCAAGAGAAGGGAAAATGAAAAAACCATATGACACGACGAAGTAGCTGACAGAGAAATATAGTAAAACAGACAGACCAGTTAAGGATCAAGAAGGCAAGACAAACACCTAGATTCAAGAATAGGGGAACGGACGGATAGAATACTTCGAGGAGCTCTTGAATAGACCAGCTCCATTGAAACCACCGGACATTGAAGCAGCACACACGGATCTTCCTACAAATCTCACTCCACCAACGACCGAGGAAATCAGGAAGACCATCTGTCATAATTCTCTCTTTACGACCCAGCTATTCCTATTGCTTAGTAGTCTTGGACACCAATTCACTCGACAAGTCCCCAAATCAGAACACGGTTGAACAAGAAAAAATTGTATTTCAAATAACAAGGGCGGATGGAAGTAAGAAGCACAATAAGAAAAAGGTTAATATATTTATAGTTTTGACATGAGAAGATTCCAGAGTGTTCTCCAAGTATAGGCCAGTGCTGGTTGGATAAAAATTAGCCAATCAGAGTGCATCGATGCAATTGTGCATGGAACATGCTTTAATTCAATCTATGCCCCGCTAACACCATTAGACAAATCAACATTGAGAAAGCAGCAGGATCTGACATTACACCAGCTTAAATTAAACATAAAACTAACCGCAAGTATACTCCACGTTCTATTCAGGAAGATTCGGGAGGAAGAGCAAGTGCTACTGACAGACTGGAAAGAAGGATACTTCATCAAAATACAAAAGTAAAGAGATCTGAGCAAATGTGAGAACGACAGAGGCATCACACTACTTTCGGTACCAGGAAAAGTTTTCTACAGGGTGTTATTGGACCGGATGGAAGAATCAGCAGATGCTCAACTTCGCAATCAACAGGTTGGATTCCGTAAGGATAGGTCGTGTATAGACCAAATAGCGGAGGACCATTGTTGAACAATCAATTGAGTGAAACCCATCACTATACATCAAATTCATTGACTATGAGGTGTTTGACAGTGTGAATAGGAGAAGATTATGGAAACTTCTTCGATACTATTGAATACGTCGGGAATTGGAAGCAGGCATGAAAAAGATGAATAGCAACAGGAAAGAACTGGGAAGGATTGCCCAGATAGGGTTGAATGGAGAGTGCTGGTGTGCGGCCTATGCTCCTCCGGAAGGGGTAACAAGCGTACGCAAGTAAGTACATCCATCAAGTGAACAATTATTCTCAAACTATCTTCATCCCATCACTTCTTATTAACTTTCAGACTACTAAATAACCACATTTGGATATCCGATATTTTCAAACAGCTTATGACACAATTCTAACGTATTTTCTAATATATATATATATATATATATATATATATATATATATATATATATATATATATATATATATATATATATATATATATATATATATATATATATATATATATAAGATCGTACAGTTTCAGTAAGTCATTGTCAAAATAAAGAAACTCTTAGCCGAATATTCTTCATATTTCCCAATGGGTCTTATCGGTTATTTACATCTTATTTGTAAAAGTCCCAGTGATTGGAAAAATATATAGAAAAAAACTATGGAATAAAATAATGAATGGCGTTTCCCTGTACTATTATTTAAATGCTTATATGACACTGTAGAAGTTTGGTTGCTAACTGAATAAACTAAAATGCTTTCTTCTCAGTACTAAAGGTAAGTTCACCCTAAGTATATTTTACGAAAGATGAAGTTGTAAACTTTCATCAAAAAAGGTGGTTGTGACATGTTATACATATGCAACCACCGCTCAACTCAACATGTTTTACTGGATACATCATGAGCGGATTTCAAAAAGACTAGGAGCGGTGAAGATGCTAACACAGGTTGTTATTAACTCTCTGACCAAAATGTGTTGGAAGGTAAAGAATTCTCATATAATGTTGGTTAGATAGTCGTAATCTATGGTTCGAGACCTACGATGACCAATGGTCTGAATCCAATAACAGTTACGCATATGTGTTCAATTTCTTATTTTTCCCTAAATCTTGTATTTCAACATTATTTCGAACTTTTCATTCTTTGAATTAATTTGTCTTTTTTAAAGTATATTACCTAAATTAGGTTTCCCACTTTCTTAATTTTCATCTTATAAATACAATCTCGTGAAATATTAGAACACTAGACTACTATACGTAAGTTTGAAATCATATGCTGTGAATGACTGCAAAGCGTTTAAATATACTTCAAATGACACGAAATCGCTCTTACCTATGTTAGAAGAAGTAGAATTATCCACAATATACTTTTTGGTATTCGAGTGTATAATAATTTGAGAATTATATACTTATCAACTAAATAGATTTGAAACCAGTACCTAAGCTATTCAAACAAACAAATAGAACACTAGAAGCTCATGATGTCTAAGCAATGATTCTCGACCGTGGAGCACGAAGGAACCAAGGAGAAGAAAACCTAGAAAGATCTAGGTTCGGTAACTAATGATATGGTAGAAAAAGCGTGAGTAATTGTACAATTCAGAGTATCCTTGAGAATCATCCGTTAAGGATGCAACTTTCTCAAGACTAGTACAACTTGACACAACTGGTTCGGAGATTTCAAAATGATGATTTGAAAACATTATAGACTAATTCCAGTGATATTTTGGAGGACTCTAAAGAGGGTTTCTCAACACAAACAGCTTTCGCAAGAATAAATTCCCAAACACCTATTAAAGTCAGAGTTTTTACCCACAAACATCAATTATGAAAGAAAAGACACTTTATACATGAAGTCAACTGAATTCGTCAAGAAACTAAACTACAATCGGATAATAGGTTTCAATCACTTCTGATAGGAAAATTAATCAGGATACTGTTTAAATTTGTCGATAGGTAGATATATTAAGAGTACAATATAAAAGTCGATGTATTACACAATTTTATATCATAGTAGAAAATAAAACATAAAAAAAAGGAATCATTTGATACATAATATGAATATGAAACTAGAAGTGATTCATTTGCAGTAAATAGTTACTACCAAAAATAAATTGCACACAAATTCACCACATGAAATAAGTAATATGTAACACTATTATTATTATTATTATTATTACTAGTAGCAAGGCAATATAAACATATGGGAAAATTAAAATATAAAACTCTTACCAAATATAGGGGTATGTATAGATTTATATTGTTTCTCCTCAGAATCCAATAATTTTACTGAACCTGAATCCAGTACACTTAAATATCGTTTAGTTGTACAATGAAATGATTGTTGTGATGAGGTAATGTATTTTTGACGTAATAATAAAGCTTTAATCAATGCTTCTGAAGCTAAATGTAAATCATCTACAGGAACCTGTAAGTATAAGATTTAAAAAAAGTGAATATACATACAAACAAACAATTTCTGATAAACATTGGAAATAAATTGTAATTATGTGCGTACGTAAAAAATATCATACAGCATAAATTAAGAAAACAATTCAACCAGATTGAAAGTCAGACATCGACTTACAAATTAAACTGCATAATATTTCCGTTTTTACTAAATAAGAAAGTTACGATGGCAAAAGTTTGATTAGCATAAAATAGAAGCTTGAGAAATCCATTCAAATCATGTTTTATACATATGAATTCAGAATTTATTTTATAATATAGTTTCATGCGAGTATAATATAACTCAATTACCAAATATAGATGCACGTACTCGGCTTCGAACCAAAATTTAGTTATGACGGCTAACAAAACTATCAGACTGACCAAAACAAAATAGGTGGATTGGAGTGGCGTTTGAACTGAAATATTTATACTTGAATATGCAACACTGTAAGGATTAATTTATGTCACTTAATTTTCGAGACAATCAACCTTTTAAATGGAACTTACTAAGCTTGTAGAAAATACTTGAATTGTAGAGGAAAAAACATTGTATATTGTTCATTATTGTCAAAAAACACACAACAATTTATACAACTAGTCACCATAAGTTTAATATAATTTTATGAGGTTGTCAAATGTTAGCCAAAAAGAAAATAAAAATAACCCGTAACAAGTTGTACAAATCCATGAAAAACAAAACATCACAAAATCAAGTTGCAATAATCAGTGGTATTGTGGGTGACATAAATGTGATAAGTAAATCATTAACTAAAAATACGATTGTCAACATAGTATTTTGTGATAATATAGAAATAAGTCGTTGTATAATTTGTTCATACTAACGAAATAGAATCTAAGTGAAACCCATAATTAGAACATTCATTGTTTCGATTAAAACTTCACTTTCCAAATTATAAAATAATATACCTGGGATACTGATTATAAATGAGTTAAGTTATTCAAAGCAGCCAAAATAACATTTCGAACAGCACTAAAACGATAGTCTATCGAGATGGTAAATGAGATTTATAATTATAAGGTATAGGTAATGTGGTGTCACATGGATTAGTAGTATACATGTTACAAAGTGATGCATGCATCGTCCAAGTCAAATAAACGGAATCCAACCAGTAAATGAGAAACAAAAGTAACCATGCACCAAAACACCCAAAACTGTAAACCAGCCGATTTAGTTAAGTCACGTATATTAAGTTATGGGTTACCACAATATGATACGTTAAGTATTTGCGTGTAGTATTATTTTTCCAAAGTCACCGATTACCATGCCGAGTCTCATAAAAAACAAGGAACATCAAGTTGATAGCTATCAGTATTTATTTAAATATTAAACCCATAGTTACTTATGATCTCTACTGACTCATTTATTTTCATGCAGTTAGTTCCCTTTATGAATTTAAATAAAGAAAGGACAAATATTGATGCAGAATAGTATGAATTCATAATATTTCGAGGTTTCTCGTCAGCTGCTTACAACCAAATATGTGATAAAATTTTTTACATTGAGATAGTGTAAAACAATTGGCATAAATGAATGTAAATAAATGGAATGGCAAAGATTTACAATAATAACTATATATATATATATATATATATATATATATATATATATATATATATATATATATATATATGCTAAAACAGGTCAGAGGTTAATTGGTGTTAGAATTAAGGAAGCAATTAAAGATGGGTGATGTAATAGTTGAATGGAGTTTATACATTGTGTGATAATTAGAGGTAATAGAACAGTGATAAGATAGGTTACGTAATAGTTTAATAGAATTTGAAAGGTTAACATAATTTAAGAGGATTAGTGGGCGGAAATGTGTGAATGAAAAGTTGGTTTAAGAAATAAGTAATGGGGGGGGGAGTATAACCAAAAATAAATATTTTGAAAATAAAATATGTGAATAACACAAAAAAAAAATAAAAAATGGATTACGAGGGTAATGATAAGTTTATTAACGTCTCTTTTTGAATGCATAAATCCGGTTTAAGTTTTTTTTATCGCAATCGCTTCCGCGAAACGGAGAGTAGTAGTATCTCGTTGTCTATTGATAATTTTGAAAGCGTGTGAAATATCAATGGTATACCCGGTATCCAGTAAAGGCCGAGCTATTGCACTATTAAGAACCTTAGTCCCTCACAGCCTTATGTTCTTTGGAACATGCTCAGAAATGCGAACATGCACTCTTCTCTCAGTTCTTCCAATGTATGTGCTTTGGCACGTACATGTAAATTGGTAAATGAAGTTGGAGCTACTAAGAAAAGAGGACTTGTTGATTTTAGTTTCTTTAAGTGAGCAGTTCGTTTTCCATACTGTCATTAATTTTGCTGCTGGGTAGGCAACTTTCAACGCGGAATTTAGTCTGTGATTAATTAAGCCAGCAATTTCATCTCCTTTGAAACGTAGATATAAGAAGCAAGATTTCTTTTCAACTCTATCATTCTTTGCCTGAGGATTGGTTTTTGCATATTTGTGGATAAATTTCAACGGGTATGAATTTTCACGTAGAGCATTAGTGATGAGAGTGATCTCATCATCCAGGCATTCTTTAAACAAATTATTCGAGCGCGGTCAAAAAGGGTTCGTATCAAACCCTTTTTGTAACTCACTGGACAGAAACTATAGTAATTGAGATATAGTCCACTTTAAGTATTTTTATGATGAATGTGTCTCTGTAATGTGCCATCAGATGTTCGTCTGACCCCAATATCAAGGAAATGGAATTTACCTTCAACTACCTTTTCCACGTGTGGCGCATATATATTTGGTGCCCCCCTGTACCAATATTTATGTGTTCAAATAAATAAAAATAAATCCTTTTCCATAGTAAATTCTATATTCTTATGTGCTTTATTGAACAGATTGAGTAGTCTTAAAGCATGCTTATGATTGTTACAGACGAGAAATGTGTCATCAATGTATCTACAGTAGAGTGTAGTAGCGTTGATTGCGTGCTTAAGCTTTTTTTGTTCCAGGTATCCCATAAATATATCGGTAAGAATTGGGCCCAACGGGCTACCCATGGCAACTCCATCAATTTGACGGTAAAAGATATTATTAAGTTGAAATTGTATGTTTCTAGTACATAAAAAAGGAGCTGTTTAAAATCATGAATTGGTAGAGGTAGAAGTTCAGGATATTTACACATGACTTTAACCTTTTCTTCCAAGGGGATGTTAGTGAAGATTGATGAGACGTCAAATGAAGCCATAAATTTTTCAGAAACATTTAGGTTGTCAAGTTTTTGTGCGAATTCAAAACTGTCTTTTAGACTGTAGGGCGCTATTTTCTTTCGGATTTGTTCTACGCATTTTGTTAGCCAGCTAGCGAGTTTGTGGAAGGGCGAATTAGTCATGAATAATATTGGTCTTATCGGGATGTCGGGCTTATGAGTTTTGGGTAGGCCATATAAGTATGGTAATTGTGATCCTTTAGGTTTAAGTTCATTGTATGTATGATTATCAATTAGATTTTTCTTCAACAGTTCTCTCAATTTTTTTAAAAGGCGTTTCTCGGTTGTCTCTGTTAAGTCTTTCTGGGTATTATCGATTATAAATATAGTGGAATCATTTAAAGTAAACATTAATTTGTTAATGTATTCATCTCTGTTAAGAATGACTACCCCGGAACCCTTAACTGGACGAAGTAGCAATATTGTTTCATCTTTCATAAGTTTTCTTATTGCTAGTTGGTGATCTTTAGTTAGCACCTTCGATTGTGGGGTTGGTGACATTATGTACTGGTTTGTAATATCAACTAATTTTGATTTTAACCAACTATGTTTTTCTTCGTTCATGGGTTTGAGTTCAGACAATTGTTGATATAAATACTTAAACTGAGTTTGTGTCTATTCTGTAACATTTTTTCGGAATATGAAATTTAAATCCGAGGGAGAGTGCCTCAGTTTCAATTCGAGTTAGTTTTTTACTAGATAAATTCTGTACGTATTTTTCTGGATTCGTAGGGAAGGTGTTATGTTTTTGTTTTTTCAAAAGTGTTTTAGTTAATGTCTTCAAGAATTTATGACTGGTTTTGGACTGAACATCGTGAATGAAATTCATGAGTTTGATTCTACATACAATGTTTAAATTCATAACAATTTTGTCATATCCAAGTGATTCTGTTTTAAGTTTGGAGATAAGTTCCTTGGTACATTCAATTTGGGATTTTGTGACGCGTCGAAGATTTTTTGTAAGCAGTTGACGAGAAACCTCGAAATATTATGAATTCATACTATTCTGCATCAATATTTGTTCTTGCTTCATTTATTTTCAGTAAATGCTTTACTCAGTTGATTTTCATGTTTGTGTTATTGAATAGCGTAGTAACGTGAGACGTTTACTCAAGTTTTAATTTAATTATTAATATATAATTCACTATGCACCGTAAACGAAATAAATTAAACGAACATAAATCGTCTATAAAACCCCAATTTATATCATGCACATAACTGACAAAAACAGGATGAAAATAGGATTTAAAAAATGAGCCATAGAGACTTAGTTTTAATTTCCGTAATTCTTCATCTAGCTTCAAAATTGATCATGAACTAACATGATGCATGTCAGATGCACTGAGAATTACAAACATGGCAAACTGACAGTAATACATATATGAAATAACAACAAACATGCATAGTTTTTACGTGACTACGTATCTGATTGTGTAATTGGTTATCTAATCCAAAATATCACCAATCAGTGCGATAATCCCTTCAAGCATTAAAATGGCCATCAAACTGTGAAGAACATGTACAAACAAACGCAAAAACTGATCACAATTAAAGCAATTTTTGGTATAAAAATGAGCTTATTTCACAATGCTTTAGAATGATGAAAATATTTGTGAAAACAAACATCAGGCTGGAAGAATGAACCCTTTCAATTTACTAGTCGAATTCATCTACATGAATTTGTTTGTGATATGATGGGCAATAAATTAACCCTAACAGTCAGATATTAATTCACTGGAGGGTGGGTAAAATATAGAAATAATATCCTCTAAACGCTTACAGCAAATAATCATGCTTATTTTTGCCTAATCATTTGTATATAAATACGCCATTAGACAAAAAATCATTCTTTCTGGCTAGTAGTTTTGTCTACTGTTTAATATTATTTCGTTCAGGAATTTGAGTCAATAATCAGGTCTTGTGGAATGCCACATAGTACCATTCCATTTCATTTATTGATTGGCACTCTATTTGTTTTAGAAATTTTAAACTTCGTTCACTTATTAAAACTACTTTAATCTAGGAGTAATGTTTCAGTCTACCACATTTATTGGAAAAATTTCAGCAAGACTAGTCAAAAAGAAAACAGAATAGCAAAGTTCAAGAAAGAATTTTAACGCGACAACAATATCTATTTGTTGTTAGATCACTTCACAAAAAACATGTTCCTGAGTAAACAAGAACGTGCTATAACTAGAGTTTTGTTATTTTTAATACCGATAAAATGTTAAGCCTTTAAACGGCAGTTCTCTACATCCACAAATAATGAAACAGATTAACCAAGTACATAATGTTGCACTAGTTTTTTTTACAATACCTAGTATGAAGGATAGAAATTCCATAGGCAAAGAGAAAGGTGAAAAAAGTGAAAACTGACCGCGTGTTCAGTGTTTATATAAAAACCAAAGGCAATGGATCTACGTTACTATGAACGATCTTCAATTATGTCGCCTAAAATCTACAACCATTTATTTTTCTCACCTTCGCAAATTACTTGTTTCATCTACGATTAGACCAGTTCTCGATGTTAATTGTTTGATTCTGCAATTAAGACGAACGATTTTGTACACTAGAAGACGCCGCAACTATTTAAAGTAATAGTAGACTGGTCTGGTTATTATGCGAGAATAAATTATTACGGATACACTTCAATCCAGTTAACAACAAAAACTTAATCCAATACGATTAACTGGTTCTGTGAAGTCACATCAAGAAGACGAGACAACTAGGGACAAAAATTCCAACAATTTATGGTCTCAATAACCAATAGGATTTTTTAACCTTTGATGTCTTAAAGAGTTGAGAAACTAGTCTCGGGAAAAAAACAAAACCATCTAACAGAGTCAATCATTTCTATTGTAGTTGCTTTGGATACTGAATTGAAAATGTTGGAAAACGACATAACATAAACACATAGTGATATCAGATATTTTGGCTATTGACTTGTGTTACTTCATGTTGATTCATTGCCATGCTCTATTTTTCTATTATATTCTGCTCCCATCTTTAATTTATTTCTGTTTCACAACTCACACTGCAGCTTGTCTAGGAAGGAAATTTTGTCCTCCCAAACGAATTAAAGAAAGTGACTTGTAGAAATTTTAAATGCTATCACTGAATACAGATTATGAACCCCCATTTCTGAAGACTCATGTCATTCAAACGGGCCTCTTTTAGCGTCCCCAAACTAATATAAATTGGACAACAGGTAGCTTTGCAGATGTCTTTAGAAAGTCGTTATATCGACGTTAGTTGTCTATCTGAGATCTATATTCAGGACTCTATTGAAATACCACAAACTCGATCTCTATCTGTCGATTCGAAAAATTCGTTTTATACGTGCCTACCAGAGGACTCTACAGGATCTTCATTTGGTTCGATAGATAGTGCAATTTAGTGACCCGATACGTTATCAGATATGGCTCAGAACAAAAACCAATGGAGATCGTGACATAATTTCCCTTTACTTTATAAGAAACGAAAGGGATACCCTTAACTGAAAGGATTCTTCTTAGTTGTATTTTATCTGAACTGTTCCCCATATTATACATTACCCTTGTAAACTTATTTTCATTCATTTCACCATTTTTTGATCACAATAGCCTTCCTTTATTTTTTCACAATTTTACCCAACTATTGATGTGGTGAATATTTATTTTTGTCCCTATCTGTACCAATATTTATGTAATTGAATAAATTAGTTAGTTTAATTAATAAGAAATTTAGCTTTACTAAAAACAAACTTATTCCCATATAAGATTGCTATTTTGTTAGTAAGATCTGTTCATCAGTTTTAAAAAAAATATGAGAAACTTTCATTTTAATCAGCAGTTAGAGTCTGGTGTGGAAAAAAGTGCTACAATCACACACCAATTTTAGTTACTCAGAGAAATCTATTCGACAAGTGCAAAACACTAACTGAGTATACTATTATTAGTGATATTCATGTGTAAAATATTATTACAGTGTACACATATTAAAATGTAAATTATTAGATGGATTGATGCTACCTGTGACAGGTCGAAAATTCCAGCAGTATGAGGATGAATCGACAGAAGCTAATTTGGAATAGATGTGTAAAAAACTTAATGAAGGTTGGTTGGATTTCGGAATGCTTGATCTTTTTAACAAAGAAAAATTAATCAGAAAATTTATAAAACTAACCTATTAGAAAATAAATAAAATCCCACTAGATGAACCAATAAAAAATAGTTTCAATCATATTATTTTCGGTGGTCAAACTTGAAAAACAGTTTGTGAATGTTATCATAAAGAGTTTTTATGGATATTATAGTAATTTAATAGTTAAGTTCACGAGTTGATTGAAGCTAGATCACCATGGAAAACCTAGAAGCATTGGACGGCCGTTTCGTCCTAGTATGAGACTCCCCACTAATGCGCATTCACGATCCCGTCCCTCGGGATTCGAACCCAGGACCTATTGGTCTCTCGAGAGAGCGCTTAACCTCTAGACCACTGAGCCGGTATCCAACGGTGTTAATGTCTAACTTTAACCAATCCACAATATTGCGCCATCGTCTACCATTGTTTTCAGTGAGTTACTATCTCACAACAGACCCTGTGAATGGTTTAAAATTTATTCTTAACACTCAAGTCTCAATAACCAGTTAGTATTATTATCCTTAACACAATGGATACAGTTCATGGAGTAAAGCATACATCTATACATAATGGATGAGTTTATAATTGTTTACAATCATATTTTGAATAGAAATCATTCCTTATTAATTAAGTTATCACAATTAGAAAACGTTAGTAATCCTCAATTACAAAACAGAGCGACAATTTAAATAATCAATATTAAATTAAAATTAAAACCTATCAAAACAACATCACAGTAGTGGTAATTAAAAAAAAGCACAACCACCATTCGTATTAGCTTCAAAAAATTGATGATAAAATACTAATTCATTTTAATAAAAATTGATAAATAACATGATAACTAAATAAAACGTAAAGAGCCATCTGTGATCTATATAATGTATAATATAAATAGTTGTGTTCGAGCCGACTGATATTAATATAAGTTAGTTACGGAAAGGTTTATTCTTTCTCGTGAAAATTTGAAGTTTATTTAAAGTATGATATAAACTAAGGGCAACAAAATAATCAAGAAAAATCGACCATACTTCCGTATCAAAATCAAAAGAACTTGTTGAGTAAATAAGGTTTATGTGGTGGGGGATGTTTGATTAACGAGGGATAAGTGAGAAAGAATCATAATGTTCTACTATCATGCCCAATTTACGAATACTAGGGATATATATATATATATATATATATATATATATATATATATATATATATACTACCAAACGCGAGATTTCCAGTAATAGAAATGGTATTCTGTACACTGGAAATATATTAAAATAAGAATCATAATGAAAAGGTATAACAATCTTATTGCCAACAGATTAATACAGTATTATCGCTTTATCTGTAAAACAAACTATAACTCATACTTGTACTCCAACCGACTAAATTACGGAAATTTTTAATAAATATGTTCAGAAAGAGTTTGTACTTGGTCAATCAGTCACAGAGTAAAACCTGGTACGTATGTACATCAATTCAAGTAGCTATAACGCTATTTGCATCTGGAGCATATATATCTTTAGTGTGGTTGAAATGGAGTGAAATATGATGCTACCTCAGGTAATAATAGTAAAATTAAGCACTTAATTTCCAACCTGTCCAAAATTATTGGAGCAGTTTAAGAAACATTTTGCCTGTTTGGTAAAAATGAGCAGTTCTTAGAACTGATGTAAGGTGTTTACATCAAGAACTGATCCTTTATACTAATAATAATCAAGCACTCTTCAGTGACTAATTTTGAGGTAATTTCAGGAGTACTAATGACAAACCACGGTCAGTGGATTTCAGCTATGTCGAATGTAAGGCAGTTACTCAGCAACAACAGTGGAAGATGGTTGTTGAAAATCGCGAAGTGATTAAGTTTTAAAATGTAAACCTCCGTATATAAACTCGGTAATTTAAAAGGTAGGCACTCACTGTCATGCTTGAAGGCCTTGGTCCTGATATCCGGACGGATTATGTATGTCCTCCTCTGAGAAGTTCCATACTAGGACCAATGAGCTGTCTAATACTTCCCAGTTTCCAGAGACTACCTAATTAAGGTGATTTTGAAATGCGAACTATGAGAATTTTATATTATCTGCCAACTTAATGAAGGAACATGTAATTAGATGTGTGCTGAAACAACCATACAGCGTCAAAGCTTGGTATTTAATATAACAGATCAGATCAGAAAACCTGTTACACATCAACAGATTTCGGCTTTAATGTACATCATGAAGACTATAACAAATTTGGTATTTAACACCCACTCTAAATAGGTAAATATATATGCATATGAATACTAGTTTGTGATAAGACAAATACTCAGAAATTAGCTTATCAATAAAGACATCTGGAAAACCAAGCTCTTGATAGTATTTAAAAGTAACAGTAAACAAGTGCAAGCGTAATCCAGTTAGCATGTATTGGTACGTTTAACGTAATTACTACGAATTCGCCTCAAAGATCACATAAAAAGTGAGTTCAAACATTTGGCATAATGGTATCGTGTCTATTTCTGAAGCGATACCAGTATAATTTTAAATAACTAAGTGTAAATCAGGGTTTGGTAAACTTACACCAAGAGTATCATCGCCGCAGATTTGGACACGTTGGAATTCTACGGCTGCTGACTCCATGTATGCTTCAGCTGCTTCTTCTACTTCTTGGAGAACAGGAACTACATCTGTAAATACGCCTGTATTTGGCGCAGGTGCTAAATATATTGGGAATCCATCGTTATTTGTACTAGGGATGCTGTATAATCTTCGGAATAAAGAACCTCCACAGTTCTGCTCATTTTGAAACTGAATATTGTTTTGAGTAATCCTAGATTGCATCCGGTTACCGGATTCCAAAGATGTATTCACGTCTGAAGTAGCAGACTGGCTGGAGTGAAGGTTTGGTTCATCAGAGGATGCTTCAGGGAGTACAGATAAAGAGTTGGAAGAATCCTTATTAAATATATTCTTTTTGCTAGATAACACAGATTCATAACCGTTCGTTATGCTTTCAACAGAATTGCAGTCATCTAAACTAATACCTTTGAAGGTAGCTGAAGGATTCGAAATAGTAAGATCATGGTTTTCTTCGTTCACAGGAAGTTTAGAATCATTGTCTGCCACACTTAATGCTCTGAAACAAAGATATTCACGATAACAATTAGACATAACTTGTTACAGAGGAGATGAATAAATCGACTAGAGATAAGAACCAGTAATCATAAAAACACACAAGAAATAACTATCACCTTACTAGAAAACTCTATTATATTTCAGTTTACACTCTAGAATTATGAAAGCAATCTTGTTTTAATGGAGTAAACGAGCTACAAAAAATTACTCTGAAGCATTGTGAAATTTTAATTAGTCAATGAGTTTCCTACAGTAAGCAAGAGAAGCGAATGAAATTTAACGAAGTGGGTAAGAAGAATGGAATATTTATTGGTTCATTCAAACCAGATAAACATCATATATAAAGCACATAACAGATATCTGCCAACGACTATTTCTTTGAAATGCATCCATGTGAAAAACACCTGGAGCTATTACAGGATTTACAACTGGAGATGAAGGTTGAAAATTTAAATCTTTCCCAAAATAGTTAAAAACCAATTCTCTAGAAAACTGAAACGCGCCACAATGTAAGTCGTATTTTCATAGTTGTGAACAAAATCCGTACCAAGCAATGTAAAAACTGGCAGAATATTACCCAAACAGGTCCATGACCAAAGTTTTAAACGACGAGCCTTTTATCTGGTCCTACCTCTAGCATCCTCCCAATTTACAATTGCGTAAAAATTTAGTGACAGATAAATACGCTGTGCGACTCGACATGACGGAAGCTTGGAGCTATGAATTTGAAGGGTTTGAAATGCGTTTGACAATTTGCATACAAAGAAAATGGAAATAGACGACAAAGAGATCATATGATTTGCTTAGAGTAACAGTTGTATTTTGGGATAACTTTGCTATCACTAAACAGTCACATATTTAAGCATTTTTTCCAGCCACCACTTATTCAAACTTTTCCCATATATCTGAATAACAATGGAAATGCAAATTGACTTACCGGGCCAATTTTAATTCCAAGATATGATCTTCCATCTCTTTCCTCTCAATCGGAAATTTCGGCATCACATATTCCGGACCCGTTTCCTTGAAGAGAGGATACGCACCCTCACGACCACGTTGCTTGATATTTTCAGTTATTTCATTGATTTTATGATCCATGTGGGGACTCACCGATTGTGAACTGAAGTAGAGTACGTGAAGAAATAAAAATCGGTAATTAGTAATCATGAAACAAAGCGAACCACCTTTATCTTACCACGGCTTTAATGAAAATACATAAATGTCACTAACTTACGAAGTACATGATTCTGTGCCCAGTTTGGAGCTACATTGTGTTTTTACATATTAGCACAACAAGATGAACAAATTCATGGAACCAGTTACTTCGATGATAGTAAAAAGATTCCATATAAAGATATGATACAGGAAGAAAGAATTACTTCGAAGAAAGAAAAGTACAGTCATTTTAATCTCAGTTTAAAGGAAGACAAAGAGTGTACACACCGCCATTGTGATCGATTCTGATCTCTAATACTGCGGTAGGTAATCCAGGATTCAAAATTGCGACCTACTGGTTAGAAGCACAGTTAAAGTATATTAGAAGTTACTGAGAATTTTAATCATATGGAGCTCCTGGTTCAGCAAATTCTTTATATGGTTTCTACGTTTAAGGTATTACTTATGAAGTTCACTAACCAAGCCTCAAACAGAATATGACAAAGTACTCTTGTCTTTCTAGAAAAATCAATTTCAGAAATGAAACAAAATCTTAATATCGCGGTAATTTCATTACCCATAGATTATTTGAGCCAATTAACGTGAAGGAAAGAACACGCAATGATATGCAATTATTTTTCCATAGATTCAATACTGCAGTGTCACTTTGTGTTAGTACCGTTTGACGTTTCTAAGCTGATATCTATAGGTTTTTAAATTTGACCACAGCCACTGTCACCTACAGTTTATTTTAATTATATTACAGTATAATAAACTTTAAGGTCACGTAATCCTTGTTAGGTGTTTCCTTTTTTACTTAAGCACAAGATCTGACACAAAATGGTAGTAAAATAAATTCACTCAATCAATAGATTTGAGTAAGACTTTGCATCAATTATGAGTGATTAACTTATTAGCAATGCCATATTTTTTCACTAGTCTTTGTAAATCAGACAGATTTGGAGAACAGAAGGAATTGAGAATGATTTTCGACCAAACTGCTCTAAGTGATGAAATATTTAAGCTCAAAAATAATAGACAAATTTAGGAGTGTGTTCAATGTTCGGCCACATTGAATACGAAAGTTTTACCTCCATTTCTGCACTGCACAAGCTAGAGTGGCTGAATTAGTGATAAGCACAGTTGGTCCTTACCTAATTCATATAGCGATGTTTTTGCGGTTGAAAGTAAATCGCCTGTGACCAAACACGCTAAGTTCATGAAGTCACCGTCCATTTAAGAAGTATGAAAACCTATAGACTTGTAGCTGTCATCCGTGGAACAGAAAAGGAAAGCAATTAAAGAACTCAAATGACGACGCTTAAGTCGACTACAATGAAATAACATTAGTTGTTTTTATCATCTTGAATAAGTACTACCTTATTGTCTTATGCTACTTTATTCTGCGCCTGCTGCCTGCCAATATTTTAGTTTTTTGAAACATCCATGATAATCCTGACTGATAAGACAACGCTAAAGTAAAGCACACCCACAAAATTTAAAACATTTGTATTTACAATACGTCAAATTTTGACATACAAATCACATGCATGAAATATGACCCGATGGTGATTCATTAAACACTAGCGGTATTATTTTTAAAGGGAACATATTAGTACCAGATGTTTTCATAGAAATAGTATTGTATTCACCAGTATTTGGGTCGCCTATCACTGTTTTTTCTTGAAACAAGCACACATTACAGACCCTTAAATGCGATGGCACTTGATATGCTTAAAATCATCTGCTGTAATTAGATGTTTTGAAACTAACAGTCTACTGAAATGAATTCATACAACAATGTAGAGCTGGAAAAAGTTAACGACCGTGAAACTGGTGAAACCATGTTATGTACGACGCTTGTTAACAGAAACCTATCGTAGTGAAAATTGACAGAATTTACTAAACACAACTCAAAACAGAACACCGTACTTTAACTGAGTTGTTTCATATTCGATTGATGGGATGTGTGCACTTCTATCTCCAAGTAAGTTCGAACGAATTCAAAATAGTACCTCAAGGACATTTTCCGAATGTAAAACCACTTAGATATTACACGCCATGAAACTGAGAAAAGTTATGTAGGGACATTAGAGCTTGAAAGTGGTGAGACTACAATTTGACAACCTTTGAGCAACGCCAGACGGACCTAGAGTGTCCACCTAATAATCAGGACCAAATGAGGGTTATAAACCTGTGTGAGGAATTAGAATTATGATTCACGGTTAGTGATTAAGGTTACAAATCACGAACTGACACCAGCTATAATGCCAAAACTCCATTTATCCGAGTGAATGAGTGTATTTTGAGCCAAAATCCGAGACCTATTATCGGTTCGTCCATAAAAATTTACTGTCTCTTGAAATGGAAAAATTCTGCACCCCCTTATGATAATCACCTACTAGAAAGATCGGTTTCCCGAAACTGAACTTTGCTTACTGAATGGCGCTCAAAACCCTCAGAAAATTTGAAACTTTTCTAAAGACATTCTCAAATATATTATGTATATTACGAGTTGCAAAGTTTTAGAATTAAGTCACTATAATGACCAATTATAATTGGTGAATAGTCAACCCCCCCCCATTAAATCTCCAAACGGACAAAAAGTAAAAATAACCCAACAATATACACAAAAAATCTATAGACCTCATCAATGTTGCAATATTATCTGCTAACAGTAAATTCTGAACACGTTCATGATTATATATAATCATTTTATAATCATGCGCTCCCAAGCATATTCACGCTGTAACACGTTCGGAACATCAAACTATCAGCCTATCATTTGAACCGTTACGATTTTATTATTCTCACGTTCATGTTATTTCTGATTGTTGTCAACTGCGTTTGTAATTGAATTTAAGCTTACACCAGTGCATTCTGAGTCGTCAGCTAAATTTTTCTCTTATTCTTAAAGATATTATCCCATACTGAAACCAACACTCAGAACACAAGGTACCTTTATGTAAGACAAACCTACGTTACAACATACGGAACCAAAATACGCGAGTAAGCGAGCTCCTTGAGCCACAGCCTTGAGAAAATGAATGAAAGTAAAAAGAATAAACAATTTGAACTTAGTGTTGAGCAGATCAGGAAAGACTTGATATTTACGAATTTCCGTATTCGTGCAAAATAAATGAAGCATCAGAAACTTTTTAAGGTCTTTTTCTTGATCTGTCCTTAGAACTTAGGGTATTAGCTTAATAAAAGTTTTCCACCTGAACGATTTAGATTCAGATTTGTGTAATAAGGACAGAAGGCCTAAGGTCTATGTTATGCGTTTTCTAGTGTGCTACTGTGAGTGTCCAATCTTCTCTTGAAAGAGTCAATTGAAGGTGCGGCCACCACTGCTTCGGGCAGCAAGTCCCAAGTACTGATGACTCAGTGTGAGAATCTGCATGACACGGGTATTTTGTTCGTTCTTAGCTTTTCTACTCGCCTTCTATGTCCTCTGAGATGTTCCGATCTGGTGAGAAGAAAAAGAGAGAGTAAGTCAAGTCCATAATTATTTCTCAATATTCTGAATACGAGAATTAGATCTCCCCTTAGTCCGCGATAGGACAGAGTAAAGAGTTTCAGCTTTTCAAGCCGCTGTTTGTACGATAAACCCCGGAGTTCTATAATTGGACGGGTAGCTGCCCGCTGCACCTCTTCTAGGACATCTGAGTCACCTTTTAAATAGGGGCTTGCAGCTTGAACGTAGTTCTCAAGCTTAATTCTCACTAAATATGTGTATACTGTGGTGGACATGGTAGCATCTAACTTAGTGAGGGCCCTAAACCCCTTAGCTGCGACCTCTCAGCAATAGGCCGTCGTCTTAAGATCATGACTCACTGTCATTCATAGATCCTTATGAGACCAGATCACGAGTACTGGCACTTCAAACTAGTTTTCTGTATCGTTTCAACAGTAGAAAATGGTCTGCAAAAAAATAAACATGTCTCAAAGAGGGATTCTGAACATTTTGCGTGAGACAACAATCAGTTATTGTTGTACTTAAACGGCCTGAAGTGAAAACTAAGTAGATTTGGAAACAGTTGGGTGACTTTGGTACTGAAAATGTTCGGTCCTTTTCAATTATCGAAGTTTAACTATATCTTCTTAAATTGGAAACATAGATGAAGGAGAGGTTTGTCTGCTTGAACTAGAAATCCTCCGGCTATTGACTTTTTCAGTCCCAACAATAGTTGGAGTGGTAGTAGTATTGGTAGTAGTAGTAGTAGTAGTAGTAGTAGTAGTAGTAGTAGTAGTAGTAGTAGTGAAAATTGCAATATTATTAGTAAGAGCAAGAGTACAGGCGAATACCCAGATAGTTTGTATTAATATCGAACCTTTTACCATACTATTACTTGCGGTCAAGGAAAATACGCAATGAACTTGTAACGGTAAATAGGGTCCCATAATGAATAAATTTGTTATTCTTCGACATTTGGTGCTGAAGATACTATCAGACGTCCATATCAGATCACGAGTGGGTACGTCGGGCTAAGAATCTCTTCAAAACCGTTAGCCAGCTTGGACGAAACGCTTCACAACATACAGATAGCCTTGCAAATAGATCTCCGGACTCCTTCATTTCTTACTTCGGATTTGACTGAGTTAGCACGCTTCGACTGTAAACGTTTTACGTGTAAAGGCGATGTCAAACTCTGAATACTTGAGACGTTTTAAGCGATGAGCTCGCCATGTTCTGGTACAACAATTCGCAAATCGTGAGTCTATTCCTTGTTGGAACATTAGATATCACATTTTAACTTTCATTGTGAAATTTTATTCATATTTCGGATATTCCCTTTCAGTTCATCGTTAGGCTTTATATTCGTCATGGCGAAACAGACTCCTAAGTTACTTAAGATTAGGACTCTCTTGCCATTTTAACCCGACAATATCGAAGCCTACTCAGAAGCTGATGTCTACAAACAAGAAGTGACAGATCCACGTGCATAGTTTCTCTCATCAGTGAAAGCACTACCACTCGATTTCAACTGATATGTCCCACCTAGTATTTTCACTAGTGATGTGTCAGAAATTTTTGAGAAAGTCTACTCTTAAGCGTGTAAATCTAGCCAATCGACAACAGCTATACCGACTCTTCGACTACATTGATCTACAACATGGCTCAGCAACACACATGTTGCTGCGAATGAGAGAGGATATTGGTCAGCGGACCTCTGACGAGGTACTGTCTAGACAAATGTTGCTGTCTAAGCTTCCCGAATAGGTTCAGTCAGTGCTTTTTCATTTCAACCCAAGGTTGCAGATGAGCTGGCTGCATCTGTCGACCGAATACTGGAGATCACCAGAACTTCGAACCCCGAAGTCTATCTAGTGAAAGAAAAACTTCAGACGACACGAGATGATGTCACAGACCTTTTGTACACACTGACTCATTATCTCGATATTCATCGTAATCTTCGACGCTCTCAAACTTCTCGGAGACGCTGTTCACAATGGAGATCTGTTTCTAAAACCATGAAGGATATTTAATCCTTATTGATGCTGACACCACGATAAATATGGTAAGTCCTTTAAAAATTGCATAAATTCATGCAATTTCTCGCGCTCCAAACCACCCGACACTCAGAAACGCCGCCACGCGTTAACGGTAACCGTTTCCGCAAACACATTGGCCTGTTATACACCACTGATGAGGTGACAAATTTCGATATCTAGTCGACACTGTCTCAGAAATAGGTCTTCTTCCTAAGAATCACAACGACCGACCACATGAGCCGGTTTTCAACTTATGGGCGTCAAATAGGAAACCGACTGCCTCATACGCTAAGCGATATGTTGATCTCAACGTGAGTTTGCGAGAAACAATTCACTGAGTCTTTGTTTCAACAAATATTTCAATGCCAATCATTGATGTAGACCTGCTGAAACACCATAATCTACCTATCAGTACGCACAAACGGAGACTGGTAGATAGAAATACTAAATCATCTGTCTATATAACTTTCTTTTCTGTTTGAGGATTGTTCCTAGTCACTGAAACGACCGACTAACTCTATCTACAGATACTTGATAAATAACCTGAACTGTACCGAAGTAGCGACCAAAACAACCGTGCGTAACCAGCGATGTTGCCCACGTCATCACGACTGCGAGACCATCTTTGCATCCGAAGGCAAGCCCATTAGCTCCCGAGAAGCTAAGGTTGGCCTAAGACGATTTCGATCACATGGTAAACTTGATAACTTTTTGGCCATCGAATAGCTCATTAGCAATTTGCCTTGCACATAGTCTCGAGAAAAGACAGCAATAGTTGGTATTCACTTAATAATAATAATAATGATAAATTTCTGCATGAGCAGGTATACTCCATTTTTACAATCTATATCACAGATTGATTGACTTATGCTCAATCATAAAGAGCCTAATACATACAAAATGTTCTGCCCCACAAACACGGGATGATTGAATTCATCGCCCTCTCCATCAATGCATGCTGGTCAGTAAATCCACCCTCTCTCCTTTTGTGATGTTAGGCTCATTTAAGCTTATTTTTTGGATAAATGTCATACCTCACACAATCCTCTGTTTCACAACTTGTTGGAGAACACTATTTCCATAAGTACCGTTTTACAAGCTTATCAGGCAGTTACAAATTATGGACTGTGGGTAACGCATCGATGCAGTGCTTTAATTGACCATAGTATGAAGTATAGTTTGCCAATTAGAGTATAAGCATTAAGAGGGGTATAACGTAGGATAGTTGTTAATTAAAGCAGACGGAAAAGTATAGAAGTATATGAGTTGTAGATAAGGTAACGAGTGGAAAAATCATATTAATTGCTAGTCAACATAGTTTGCAGAAGAGTAAAATGCTAATAATTAATAAACAAGAAGTGACTCACACTAACTTGGTGCTGATGTTGTTTTGTGTTGTCCTAACCAGTTGAAGGGTAGCAGGCTCCGCAGATGCAGAACCACTGGTAGTAGGCAGTCGATTGAGCGGTGGTAATGTGTGTCCCTTAGCGACCGAGTTTAGTTGAACAGTATCGATAAGTCCAGTGAGTTACCTATCTACTTTAAGTGAAGAAATAGAGTGGAAAAAGCAACTTAAACAGCTGCAGAGTAGGAAAAATAAGGCAAACTAAACTTGAAGTCCGTTTTAGTCTAGACATTTAGAGAACCTATGATGTCTGAGTGGGGCTCAGATCTGTTCGTACATGCTAGATTAGTGCAAATGAGGGTCTGATCAAGCAGTCATACAAACATATGTAATCAATCTTCCATGCGTGTTTCGGAAAGAAGACTGTTCCATATTCTCGCATACTTGATGAGAAAGAAGTTTTTCCGAGTTTTTGATCTGTGTTTCTCTACTTTGTTTTGAAGTTCGTATTCATGTGAATTTCGGACAAGAACTATCTTACATGTTGAATAATTAAGGTTCATGAGTAGTTTGAAATAGATAATCGAATTGGTCCTAAGCCTTCTTTTCCAAAGTGGTGCTATTCCTAAGATTTCGTGTCGGGAACTGATTCAGTTTTAAGTATTTTGCGGGTGAAGTCTTGTTGTATTCCTCCCACCTTTGGTATGTCAGATAGGCGTAGGTTGGAAAATAAGAACGAGCAGTTTTCAACGATAGGTCCTACACAAACTTTAAAAAGAAGGATTTTAGATTCATTTTGATAGAAATTACGGAGAATGAAGCCAAGAAATTTCCGCATTTTAGATGCTTTGGCTGAGATGTGTTCAGAGAAATTAAGACTATGTGAGTAATGTACCCCTCGGTCAGTTACTGATGCCAGTTTCGGCAGTGTGTTGTTGTTAAGTGTTAGTTTTATTTTAAGACCCTATACATAACCAGCCGCACTTCTTTGTGTTGAGCTCTAACCTCCAGCGTTTGCACCAGTCTTCTACCATGTTGAGTTCATGTTGGATTGTTTGCATAGTACTACGTACATCGCAAATGTCGGTTTCATAAATGACTTTTAAGTCATCGGCATAGAGGTAGGTCTTACCTGTGCTGAAGCACTTGCATATATTGTTGATGTAGATTATA